CGCTCAAGCGTACACTCTGAGTACATGCACTTCTGCTCGAGCGTAGGAAGTCACGCTCGAGCGTGAAATGAATATGCCCAAAAGTTCATGTGTTTTACAGTCTGCTCGAGCGAGAGAATTCACGCTCAAGCGAGGACCTAAGTCTCACGCTTGAGCGGAGGTCGAGCATCCGTCGAGTGTGAAAATCGTGCATCCAGTACTTTTTCATGAGTTTGCAGTCCGCTTGAGTGAGGGAAGTCATGCTCGAGCGGAGCTCCTTTGTCTGCATGTGCCGCTCGAGTGTAGAAAGCCACGCTCGAGCGAGGCCCTTGTTTTCAGCAAATTTTGAAAAGTGTTTTAAAGTACATCTTTGCATCCTCATCCCATCCTAGGCATTCCTAGGCCATGTTTAAGGCATCTTAATGAGGATAATGTTATAGAACGACACCAAGTCAGGTTAGGGGTTAAGTTATTATACCCAAGTGTGTAACTTAGTGTGTGTTCATTCTGCAACTGTGTAGGGTTGGCATTCGAGGACGCTTATTAACCTGCCTGTAGCCCAAAACTCTGTGAGCAACAATGTTGTAAAGATACGTTCAATTATAACTATTTCTGAATGATTGACTGTACTGTTTTCTGAAATGACAATGTTTACTGAATGAATGTTTGTCCTATTTTTACGAACTGTACTCGTGGCATCCATAGCAACTTACTGTTACTGTACTGTTACTATTACTCCTACTGTTGCAGAGATCTCTGTCGGTTCCAATGTGTGGAACTACTACTGTTTACTGTTATGATGGCCATCAATTGACTGTTCGGTCTGTTAAGACCTACTGTACTGTTTTGCTATTGGATGCACCACATATGACTACTATGGTTTGTAAATAACTGTTATGGCATGAAAAATGAGCCACTGATTGAGTAACTGATTTACTGATACAATGGACTATTTTAATTACTAAAAGGACATTCATTCTTAACCCCTTTACGCATTTGTTATTCACTGGGCTTTAGCTCACTGTTTATATTTATATGTAGGTGTTCAGGCACCGGACTGGGGCTAGGAGCGTTAGGTTAAACTCCCGTGTTTTCAAGCCAACCGTTGTGCCTCACTTCGAGGTTCCTAATCTGTCCAAGCTAAGGCTATTTTTGGGGTGTTTCAGTTTCACCCGTTTGTCTCTGTTCTGTAATTAATGTTTAAGACCTGATTGTACGGTTATAGTTAGTAGGGCTGTTCACGGGTCGGTTCGGCTCGGGTTTACCCTTAGCCTGTCAGCCGAACCGACACGTTCGGGTTGGAAAATCAATTATCCGTTATCGACCAAACTACACTTCGAAATCGACCGAATGAAAAGTCACGACTTAGTGGTTGGTTCGGTCGATTTCGAAAAAGTAATAGGGATGGAAAAAAATTGTGAAAAAATCAAATTGAGAAATCAAAACAGCAAATTAAACTCATGAATACAAACTCATGAATACAAATCAGTAACAGAGAGTGACATAATACAGATGAGTAATAGATTATAGATTACACCTAATGTATATACACTCAGAAATTACAGATTATCGCTGCAACCATTGTCTTCGCTCATCGTCACCAACACCGTTATTTAATAACCTTGTCTGTCACTGCCACTACCCCATCACCAACGGGAGAAAGAGGGAAGGAAGAAGGAAAAAAAATTAAAAAAGAGAAACAGATATGAGGAGAGAGAACGACAGGAAAGAGAAAGGAGGGTCGGTGGAGAGACTCAGAGACGTGTTCGTATCTAAAGGATAGAAGAAAAAGAGAGAAGGGACGGTGGGAGAGAAACAAAAGGGTTGAGAGGAAGATGGAGATGAAAGGACAGACAAAAAGAGAGAAGAAGAAAATATAAGGATTGAGAAGAGAGAGAGACACACATGAGTAATGAGTTTTCAGATTTGAGAGAGAGAGAGAGAGAAAAATACATTAGAATTGAGGAATACATTTTTGTTGAGAAGATAAATGTGTCCTCAGAAGGATACAGTCTCAGATTTTATTATTATTATTATTATAATAAATAGATATTGCGTCTCGACTTGGAAAAGAAGAAAAAAAAGTTACAATTGATTGATTGATAAGGGTGAGCTGTCAAGCAGAGAGAGACTTGGGAAGGATAATTTTATATTGGAAAATGTAGAAAGTCTTTTGAAAGGAAAGGATTGACAGAATGCCTTCAACGCATTTGGTTTAAAATAATATATATAAGTCGGTCGGATCGGGTTCAGTTAATATTTTTTTATTCAATCCGTTGTCCGACCGAAATTTTATTTTTTTTAAAATAATACAACCGCAGCCGACCGAAAATGCATGCGAAACCGTCTGTGGTACACGCGGGTCGGTCGGGCTCGGACGGGTTCACGGGTGATTCGGTTTTTTGAACACCCCTAATAGTTAGGGATTTGGTCCCTAACCTAAATGTTTGTATATATGATGTTGTACATATGTTTTGGTTACGAATGTGGTTTGTTCATAAAAGTCTTTTTGCATTCAGAACTTCACAGCTCATTGGGCATCTTTTATTTACTATTTGGCTTCCGCCAGCCCCCCTTACTCTGTATTACTGTCATTACTGTTAAACAGGCCTTTGGTAATCATGGATTACTGGCCAGTTACGATACTAAACCCATAGGGGCGGGTTTGGGTCGTGACATCAGTAAAAGTGAAAAAAAACATTACCATCATCTTCAACAAGTATTTAAACTCTTTGTTAAACATGGTATTATTATAAGTCTAAAATAGAAATTGGTAAAAAATATATCAAGTTTCTAGGAGTAGAAATTAGTGATGGACAAATAAAACTTTAACCCCATATCACACTACAACAAAATACACATTTGTCAACCACTTTTGCCTTCTGAACATAGGACCTTACATCCCTGGTTAACTTTCTGAATAACTGCATCAATTTAAGTTCACATTAATGGCAATCAGAAATATTTGAGCCTTCAAATTGCCATAATATCCAAAGAGGTTACAGATAAATGACCATTCGGAACAAGCCTTCGAGTAGAGGACCTGCAAGGTCTAGTCTCTTATTTGCATAGTGGTCCCTATCATCTTCTGGCCTTCGACCAAGGGCACAAAGTAAAAGCCGATGAATAATATACCTAGTGAAATTAAGAACAATTAGTAACATTTTCTGGAATATGAGTCCCAATATGAGTCCTAAACTAAACATGCCCAAAATAGTAAGCCTTCTTAGTTTCACAATACTCCTCAGTACTGTAGACGCGCCCTTGGGTCCCATGCTACAGTTCGGACTCGATTTGTGTGTTGGTTCTTAATCTGATCTCACAATGTGCAATGTGAGATTGATAAATCACTGAAGAGTCCAAATTCGGCAAATCGTTTTGGAAAATAGATTTTTTAGAAAGAAGTTCCAAACATGGACTCCTTTGCCAGATATAGAGTAGCCACCTAAATATTTTATTTTGGGAGAATTTAGGAAACCCTGACTCGTTGCCTAAGGCCATGTGTCCGTCATCACCAAAGTTGCCTCGGCTCGGGAGCTTGGGTGCGATTGGGGAAGGTCAGCTATGAGCACCCCCGCTCGCCCGATCCGAAGATCGGCCTCTACTAACCATAATATCTAGTTTTGAAATCGTTATGTGATGCGCACAACACAAAAGTATAGACTAGATCGCCTAATTTGGAACAAAGCATCGCATATCTGTTTGGTTGAAAAACAATTTGAAATTTGCTACTCGCAAGAAGGCTAAAACACGGTTTTCAATGAGTTGTTGCAACTCAAACAATCCAACCTTCACCCACAGGCATTCAGGCAGTTTATATCACATAAGCATATAGCCACATGGTAAGCATGCTGTCATGTTTAACATTCACACTCATGCGAGATGCTAAAGCATAAAAACACTCAAAGTGTACTCCAAGCCAAAACAAGAAACTAGTTAGTAATCATGCATGATCCTAGTTCATTTTAAAGTGGCTAGTGCATTGCATACAAAATGTCACTAGAATAGGCTTGGCTAATCTATGGATGGCATGTGAAATGCGACAGATAGCATATATTCAAGTTAGATTTGAAATACTATGCAGTTAGCATGATGAGCCGAGCCTGGTGCATGCAATACTGATGAATGATGCACGCATGCATAGCATAAGGTATGCTAAATTGAATATGCCCTGATACTAACCATCAAAAGCTAGTAAATAAAAGGGAGAAAGACTTGGGGTTAGAAGACATACACACACTCACGCACGCTTATTACACAATTGCCCTCGCTCAGAGGATCCGAAAGAATAATACAAATTAATTAACCTACAGGCTAATTAATTAATTACAGACCAATTAACTAGTTAAGCAAATTAACTAAGCTAATAAAGCGATAAAATCGCTTCGGGAAGAGAGCCCACACTACTACAAATACAGATAAAGATCACACTTTTTTTGTGTGATGTATATTTTTTAATCACACTTTTTAAGTTTTATGAAAGTGTGGTCTTTGAGAGTGTGATTAAAAAGGGTCATTTTTAATCACACTTTTTAAGTGTCATTAAAAAATACTTTTAATCACACTTTTTAAGTGTCATTAAAAAATGATTTCATCACATCTTTTAAGCGTGATTAATAATATTTAGATCACACCTTTTAAGTGTGATTAAAAATATTTAGATCACACTTTTTAAGTGTGATTAATAATATTTAGATCACACCTTTTAAGTGTGATTAAAAACATTTAGATCACACATTTTAAATGTGATTAAAAACATTTAGATCACACCTTTTAAATGTGATTAAAAATATTTAGATCACATCTTTTAAGTGTGATTAAAAACATTTAGATCACACATTTTAAATGTGATTAAAAATATTTAGATCACATCTTTTAAGTGTGATTAATAACTAATAAAACCTGTGATAAAATTAAAAAAAAAAATCGACATATTTGAAAAATAATCAATACTATTTTTGTACGCGCATTTGAATAATGTGATACACACTATATACTATATTTTGAATCACAACCATATATTGAATGAAATAACATCATATATTTCATAAATGAAAGTTAAATTTTCAAAAGTATATACAAAGAAATTAATAAAAAAAATTTAACTGTGATTACATATATTAAAAAATTAAGTGCTTGAATGCTTTCAAAGCCATGTGGTTCGGCTTGTCAAAAGGTAAGTATCCAGCCATAAGAACAAACAGAATGACCCACAAGACCATACATCAGCTGCTGTACCATCATAACCTTTAGCAGTGAGCACCTGATAGAAAAGGGAAAAAAAAGAAAGAAAGAAGTATCACAAATGCAAGAAACTAATAAGAAAAGGAAAAAAAATTGCATCAAAGCGACCATCCATTTCCATGACATCATAATTGATACCTCAGGAGCAACATAATTTGGGGTTCCACGGGCAGTGTGAAACAGCACGTCTTCCTACAGTAAAAAAGGTAGTCAGTCTTTGATTAAGCAAAGCCACAACACCAACTTATATTGATGAATGAGGGTTAGGTTTAAGGCAATCCACAACTTATGTGTCTGAATGATATTGAGATCATATAACCTCAATGCGGATTAGATCAAGTCTTAAAAAATAGTCACTGAATGTTTTCAAAGTGTCGAAATCTAGATGATGCATAATACAGAATCTTATGAAGAAGTCAACTAATAAAACTAAACTGCCTCCTTGATTTGGGAAAACTAATATAAAAAGAGGGAAAGGAAAGACACAAATCATAAAAAAAAGTTCATTTCCAAATTAATAGAAACAAGAAATGAACAAGCTACTGAAGGACAGAAGAAAAACTAATGGCCACATTATTCCTGAGGAATTCCTTTCAGCGCAGGGCACTGCTCCTGGCCGGAAAGGTAGTTTCTGGACTACGTGATTTTAGTAAACCAAATAGGCTGCAAAATTGACTCAGTGCTGCTACTTTTAAAAATTTGACGTTCAATTTATTAAACACCCACCTGCTAAAAATCTGCTCTCAGATGAGTAAATTGTTGCAAACTCACATAATACTTACCTGCACTTGCTGGGAAAATGCACTCAATCCAAAGTCTGAAACCTTGAGAACACCAAATGAGTCTAGAAGCAGATTCTCGGGCTGCAAAAGATGTAATGCAGGGTAATGCAAATTTCAGAGTCATGGTCGAATAAATAGCCAAAGAAACCAAATTACTGTTAGATAATAAATTCTTTTTTATTGGAAAAAATTAGAATAAATACATTAATTAATCAATGAAACATGTAAGAAAGTTTGTTAAACCTTTAAGTCTCTATGGTACATGCCTCTACTGTGGCAGTAGTCTACGGCATTAATGAGCTGCTGAAAATATCTCCTAGCCTCATCCTCTTTAAGTCTTCCTAGTTTGGCCTAGTTATAAAAGGGTCAATAAGGGAATATTATCAGACAAATACAAGACTCGGTACCCACATGATTTACATAAATGAGCCTCAATAGAACACACATTACCACAACAAAATGGTAAGCATGACATGAGCAAATGCCTAAATTAAGATGTAATGCATTACACAATTGATTATATTATGAATGAAATTATAGGTGCTCAGAGAGTAGAAGCTCAAAAAACAATGCCTTACTATTTTGTCAAAAAGCTCACCCTCGCCAACATACTCGAGCACAATGTAGATCTTTGTCTTGCTTGCCATAACCTATTTTCAAGCATAGAAAAAGGATGCGTTAACATGTAAAACATGAAGCACTTAGACCATCATATTTCTAGTAGTGCGAAGAGCATTCAATTCATTTTAAATGCTGCTCATAAATATCAAAAAAACTCAAAAAAATGTTGCAACAAATAGACATATAGGATAGGCTACTAGTAGTTAGTTAGTTACCTTGGCATAGCAATTGACTCTTCTTAATCTGGCTTTCCTGTAAGATGGGCGCACATTAAGGGCAGCAGTCCAGTCCTTGATTGCTTTCTCAAATTGACCAAGTTTGGACCTGCAAGTGGCTCTGTTGCACAACAACACCGAGTTGTAGGGGTCATGGTCGAGTCCCTCTCCATATGCAACACAAGCATCTGAGTATCTTTATCCCCTGAACAAATCGTTACCGTTGGACCGAGCCATTGCCACCGCCCGTGTCCTCTTAACCACCATGTTCACTTCCTTGCTGCTTAAGTCCAGCCGTGCTGCTCTTTGAGCCGCTGCCACTGCATCATCAAATCTGTCAACATAAATACACGACTTCCCACTCATTAAATTTTTTTTTTTTTATAATCAAAGGTGTTGGATAGTTGTTTTGTTATACCAACAAAACACAATTCAACAAATGAAAAACTAAAAAACAAGAGGGAAACATACTATGTTAACAAACATCACACCAAGAACGACAGCATTAGCAAAACCAAAACTCAAAACGTGCATGAAAGAGCATGTGCATCGATATTGTGTTATGAAACATTTATAACTCGGTGTATTTAGTTATTTATTATTTATTTTTTTTACTTTTTTTTATCACTTTGTGTGTTATCTAAAACTAATTGCAAAGTCCAAAGGCATGTTTTTGCTAGCCCCCCTTAATTTCTCCAAACAAGTCTCATGCACACAACATGTTAATGAAATGCTTCAACAGTTTTCTTATCTTCCCTAAATTGCAATGCTAGTCCATTATCTTCCACTTAACTTCCAAAAAGTTGATTACAAATAGCACATATATACATACATATATATACACACTATTTGTAATTTACGAATAAAAAATATGAAATAAGGGTTGTTGAGTTTTAAAATATTGAATCAATTAATGCAAAGAGTGTGACAAATAATTCACACTAAACAACTTGTATACTTTATATATAGGACAAGTGGTGTGAGTGGTGTTCTGAATTTTTGAATAGTTTGATGATTGAGTAAACTGATTAGCCATTTATAGTTTGATGAAGGTACAAAATTATTATAATAGTTATTGGATATGATAGGTACATGATGAAAAATTGGTGGTAATTACGAGTATGATTTAGAGAAGAAAGAAACCTCTCAAAATTATTGACCAGTTGACTGCCTTAGCAAAAGCATGATAACAAATGCAAACTTATTTCAATAAAAAAGATTATATTCATCTAGTCATTCACACATTTGTCAATAGCAGTAAATTTAAAGCATAAATCAAACCAAACTAAGCCTTATGTCCCAATGTATTAAAAATTAGCATCTATTATGAAATGGTCTATTCTCTCTTAAATATATCCTTTTATGCTTGATTTTTGTTCAGTTGGACTAAATTGGCAATTTGTAAAAAATTAAAGAACAAAATACAATTGGAACTAGAGGTGAGGGTGCAACTTGGGTTTTTTTTTTTGTTGGCAATTAAAGAACAAAATACAATTGGAACTAAATTGGCAATTTGCGCATGAGTTTTCATAACTCAAGTAACCCTAACAACCTAAATTTTTTTGTTGATACATAGAAATTATATATATGACACTATGAAATATTATAATTAAACTATTTTTTTTTAGTAAGGCTAATTACTGAATAATACCAAGATTTATATATCAATCTAAATGGAGCATTTTTTAGTAAGAACTAAAAATGAATAAATTAAAATCCAGGTAAGAACAACTTTATAGATGTCAAAATAAACAAACATTACATAGGACTTTAAATTTTTTTTCATCCCCACCAAACAGTACATAAGAGAGATTACAATTCTTGTCTTCCACCAAATGAACACTAGATTCCCATTTCAAATAAACAAACAATGCTTTCATCAATGAAGCCTGTTATGGAAATCATTTTCATTTCCACATCCTTGGAATTGAAAATCCCACCCCATCCATTCAAAAGCATCCTCTTTTGGGTCATATGATGATTGAACCTCAGAACATTTTAACATGCTTCTCTGAGTCTGTCCCTTGGGTTGTGTTTTTTGTTACTTTTTTTTACTAATAAAGCTTTCTATCCAAAAGAGAATTCAATAATTCTGGCTCAGAGACCCCACTGCAGTGCTGCAATCAGCTACTGCACTTCTTGTTTCCAAAAAGCTACCTTTTAGCTTGAGAAAACTACTATAGATTTACTGTGAAATGTTCTGTCAAATTTGATAAAATGTTTCTAAAAACTGATTTTAAACACTTTTTTTATAAATAAAAAAAAAACTGCTGAAGTTTGGCTCTAATTTTGTTGAAAATTATCCTACAACAAAAACTTTTAAAGAGCAACTATAGACTCAAATTTTGTTAATTTGGTCCCCAAATTAGAACTTATGAATTTAAAATCTCTTCACAAGGTTGCCTAAAGCATCATAACTATAGCACCAATATAATATATATATATATATATATATTATAAAAAAGTTATGGGCATTAGTCTCATATTTATAGGCCTTCATGACTATTTGATCCTGAGGCAGTTTTGGTATTATTTTCAACTTAAGGCTTCAGAAACCAACTAAAGAGATGAAAAGTGATATACATAATCATATGAAATAATATCAATTCTTGAGGTGTGTAATGCTCTATAAAAAGTGTTTTGCCTCTCTCAAATGTTGTGAAGGAAAGAAATTACTAATCCTTTTGGCATTGCAAATTAAAAAAGGAGCTCACTGAACTTTGCCTTCTTTAAAAAAGGCTTAATTAGTTACCTTCTTCATTTGCAATTGCTGGCACTGATGATGATGATGATGAAGAAGAAGAACAGAGAGATCAAACAGAATGAAGATTGGCATTTGAAAACTTTGAAAGTTGTAGTAAGTACTCCTAATTTTAAAGCCTTTGGCCACTTGAGAGGCTTGAGCTTTGTCCAAATACTGATTTCTAATAGAGAGAGAATGTGAACGAATATAAAGCTTTCTCAGTAGAATTTATAGAGGACTGGTCCTTGTGGGAGCAATATACACTAAATTCTAGTTTTAAATGATGTCAGTCCTATTATCATATTCATTTTTATTTATTTATCAATTTTTGATTAATATTCTATGATTAATATTCATTCATAGAATCTGGTAAAACACCAGAAATAAGCCAACAAATTAGCAAAAACAAGATCAATCACCGAAATCATGTCTCTATCTATCTGTATAACTTTAAATTAGCAAAAACAAGATGAATCACCTAATAAATCAACAACACAGATTAAAGAACGATCGAAATCAACACAGAAATTCAGAATAAATCAACACAGAAATTCAGCAACTAGGCATGAAACAACACAGAAAGACAGAGAGTTGGATTCATACATAGAAAGTAGCTTACCGATTATGAATCTTAAACAAAAGAAAATAAAGGCCAATTTTTTTTTTCTCATTTATTTATATATTTATTTATAGTTTGTTTTGAATAACAAGCATGCGCCATCATTTTCAGGAAACTAATAAAAACGACATTACTTCTTCAGCACCCTTTTACTGACCAATCAAATAACATCTCCCAAACTTATCCATGGTCTGTTTGGTTATCCAGAAACCACAAGAAAAGAAGCAAATACACTGGAGTTCAGGCTTCAAGAAACAGTTAATAAGAAATATTCTTCTTATTTTAATAAGCTTATACAAATCTTCATGAATATCAGTATCAAAGCATTCAAATTCAAGATTTGGAATTATAGATGTCTGCTTCCAGCAGCTATAGCCAGAACCAGTATCAGAGGATTCATGTTTTTACAGTGTATGAAAATCACAATCACAATCTCAAGATTCATGTTTTTACAGACCTAACAACACTTCAGAATCTCTCTTTCTTCCTAGATCAAGAATTTACACAATAGCCATTGATTCATTTGATGAACAAAAAAAAAAAAACAGAGTCAGAGAGACATAGATCTGAATGCCCACAAAAAGTCAGAGAGAGAGAGAGAGAGAGAGACGCATACATACGAGTTGCTGGAGAAAGATTCGATCTTACGAACTCGATTGGTGCGATGAGAGAGTGAGTCGATCAGTCGATCTTGCGATGAGAGAAAGTCGATCTCTTGCGAGGTTGATCGGTCCAGATGAAAAACGAGAGAGGGACTGATGAGATGAGAGAGAGAGTGAGAGCTGCGCTGTGTTTTGAGTTTGACAGATTAGATTCATTAGGGTTTTTGTTTGTTTGGGTGTAGAAGAAGATGAAAGGTCGAACGGTCCAGATTATTCACCCAAAAAAAAAAGACGGTCCAAATTTGAAATATTTAAAATAAAATAAAAAAATTGTTAATGCGGGGCGGGTTGGGCGGGTGCGGTTCAAACCCGCAATCCGCCCACAACCTGAAAATCAGCTAAAATTCAAATTGCATCCGACTCTAATGTATTTGTGAAACCGCCCATATATGTGCGGATCAGATTGGGTAGGGCGGTTTGGACGGGTCAGATAACCCAATGCCCAGCTCTAGCTGAGAGTAATGAAAGAAAAAAAGGCACCAGTTTGGGATATATTATTATATAAAAACAATATATTCAAAACAATCTACAATCACATTAATTAAAAGGTGTGAATAAAATATATATATAATCACATTTAATTTAAAAATGAAATAAAAAATAAATATTATTACATTCAATCAAATTAAGTATTATTAAAATATCAATCTAATTTGTTTTTATCACAGTTTCAATAAAAATGAGATATTTTTATTTGTCAAAGTGTGATCTTTAACTATTTTTGTAGTAGTGCAATCTACAATCACATTAATTAAAAGGTGTGAATAAAAAATATATATATAATCACATTTAATTTAAAAATGAAATAAAAAATAAATATTATTACATTCAATCAAATTAAGTATTATTAAAATATCAATTTAATTTTTTTTTATCACACTTTCAATAAAAGTGAGATATTTTTATTTGTCAAAGTGTAATCTTTAACTATTTTTGTAGTAGTGATATAATCACACTTTAATTAGAAGGTGTGATTAAAAATAATATATATAATCACACTTATTTAAAAAGTGTGATTAAAAAGTAGTAGTGTATATATAATCACACTTTAATTAGAATGTGTGATTAAAAAATATATAAATAATCACACTTTAATTAGAATGTGTGATTAAAAAATATATATATAATCACACTTGTTTAAAAAGTGTGATTAAAAAGTAATAGTGTATATATAATCACACTTTAATTAGAGTGTGTGATTAAAAAATATATAAATAATCACACTTTAATTAGAATGTGTGATTAAAAAATATATATATAATCACACTTGTTTAAAAAGTGTGATTAAAAAGTTGTTGTGTATATATAATCACACTTTTAATTAGAATGTGTGATTAAAACATATATATATAATCACACTTAATTGAAAAGTGACATAAAAAATAAATATTATCACACTCAATCAAATTAAGTGTGATTAAAATATCAATCTAATTTTTTTATCACACTTCCAACAAAAGTGAGATCTTTTTTTTTGTCAAAGTGTGATCTTTAACTATTTTTGTAGTAGTGCCAATGCACGTATGCTCAGCTCTGCTCGGAAACCCACCGCCATGCACAAGTTGCCTCTATTTTCACTGTTTTCCTCCTCTGAAGACTGCACAAGTCCCAAGGCACACCCTCTGAACACTGGGAAATGCCACCGACCATGAGGAATGGTCACCGGCCAAAGGTAAGTGGTCATCGACCATCTATGAAGCCATCGGCCAGAAATGGATAGCCGGCCGGCACTAGAGATGGCCGACCGGCCATATCTTCCTTCAGGAACCTATTCTGACAGCAGCAGAGGGCAAAACAAGGCATGGCAATGCATTTCAAAGCAATGTTTGTACCACCACACCCCTTATCATGTTTATGACTCAAAGGGGTATGGTACTCGATTCTCGGACCACTAATCGCGCATTTCAATGTGTGATGGCCTAAGAAACCAAGTTGTGCATTTTGGTGTGGAATGAAATGCACATAAACAAACAATGGAGGCCCAACCTCTATCATAATCAATTCAAGAGGCAAGGCATGCATGCTTAGTGAAATGCAACCTAGGCATGCAAGCTAAACATGCAACATGAGGATGCAAACAAGCATGCTAAGATGAAAATATGTAACAAGTATGCAAGTTAACAAGCATGCAAAGATGCAATGTGAACATGCAAACATGCAAGACATATAACATGTTGAGCAATCAAAACAAGAGGAAATGCATGCCAAATGCAATGCGATTCAAACATGCAACACATACGATAGGCCAAGTATGTAACAACATGCAAGGCTAGCATGCAACAACATGCGAATGAGGGTCTTAGACTAGTTTGGGCAGCTCTCAAATAAGCCCAAAATAGTGGCCGAATGCTAAGGAAATGAAGGCCAAAATACACACAAACATGCATGCACACATGGTTCAAAACTTAAGCATCAAAGAGCAACTTTTAAGCACACATAAAGGGACAAACATGGACATATGGCGTGCATACTAAGCTCTGAAAATCATGTTATAAAGGTGCCAAACCAAGTAAACAAGACAAGCCAAGCATGCAACAATGTCCAAGACTCAAGGGGGCTTAAACCAAAGCTATATGAAGCAAGCCCCAAAGGGCCAGGAGGACCTAAAACAGGTCCAATGCAGGTCTAAACAAGACCGAAGACGCACCTAGATGGCATCTAAATGGTCTAAACATGGAAGCATACATAAAGGTCCAAACATAGAGCATAAGACACAAGCCTTTTAAAGCATTAAAGGGGCATCAAATGCAAGCATACAAGCATACCACAAGGACTGAAATGATGCTATAAGTGGTGCCAAACCACTGAAATAAGCAAGTAAAGCATGCTAGAGGGATCAACACTCCAGGCTCACAAGGGGGATCACATGGTAGCTATACAAAGCAAAGCATGGATGGCCTGAACAACCAAAAACAGACCTTGGGCACACTAAAACATGCATAAAAGCTTCACAAAGCTAGACCAAAACAAGTAAGCATAGTGGTCAAAATGCTAGGCACATGTTAAGGCAATTCATGGCATTACAAGACAAGTATGCTAAGCATGCATGGTGTGTCTAAACCAATTAAAAACAGTGCTATATCATGGCAAAATAAGCACAAACAATACTTAAGACATGGCCAACATGAACTTAAACAAGATGCTCACACATGAGGCTAAAATGGCCAATATTGAAGGCAACAAGGAGAGGGGACCCTCTCCTTATTAGGACCTTAAAGCACCATCCCCACCACTGAAATCTAGCCTCTGGATTTCAGTGGTGAGGAGGCCCAAACAAGGTGGTCCTGGAGCTCACCAAAAATGCACAAAATGGGGACCAAACAAGGCCTAAGAGGGGTCAAACAACCCAAACAACAAAGTGACCTTAAACAACTATTTAGAGCACTCAAAAAAAAAAAAAAATACTTTTATTAGTTATACACAATGTCTAAAAACAGATGCAAGGTAGGTTAAAAGACTATGCAAAAATGGGGAATAAAGAGCAAGGATCTTACCCTTGTAGACCCCTTCAAGAATGGAGCTCCAGCAGCCTTCCTTAGCTCGAAACCAGCTCAAAACTTTGAAAACAAACCTTTGACACCTCAGAAACCAAGGTAAGGTGTAGCACTAGGTGTTTATGCACAAAAGTAAGACACAAACACACTTATACACACACAAAGGCAAAAAGAAAGAGAGATATAGAGATAGGTGATACACAAACTCTAACCCTAATCCAGACTTCTGGAACTCAACCTTCTAACCCTTGAGAAGGGAGGAGAAGGCCACCCTTTATAGAGGATCACTCTTGCAAAGCTTACAAAACAAGCTAAGCAAGAGTGAAATCCCTCCATACACGTGTATGGAGGGGGGGCAAAGTGGGTGCCAGCTATCACAGCTGGCACAAAATATCTGCCAAAAGTAGATGCGCAGTGGTCGGCCAGCCAAAGATACCAAATTGGCCAAAACAATGGTCGACAGACCATCAATAGTGCCGACTGGCCAAACATTTTGCCGATGGCAACAAAACAGTGGCTGGTGGCCTCAAGCCATGGCCGGTGAGGTGTGGGGATGGCCAACAAGCCATTCCCTGCCCTCCAAAGCATAAACACAAGTGTTTGGTGCAAAACCGAGTTGAGAGATCCTGAGGCAAGGCGCGTGGCCGAGACCTCCGGGAACTCAAGACGAACACAAACATGGATGATCACCGAGTGTTCAAACGGTGACGTCCAAGTCTTGAGGACGGTCAAAAATGGGGTGCCTACAAGTACCAACATATGGAAGCATTTCTCTTTGAAGGATTTCCTTGGCATATCTACAAAACAGACAAGCAAGTTAGCTAAGAATCAAATATGACTATATGAACCGAGCAACAAGTTTGTTCACCTAATACTCCACAAGGACTAATGCAGTGCTGCCAACACTAATACCCCTTTAACAATGCTAGGGACATGTTTTTAAGTGTCCCTAATCTAATGCTTTGCTTACCCCTTTGGCACTTGTGGTAGAAAGCATCCTGACAAACATGCTACTGGGTGGCCTGTTTTGGGACTCTGCCATAGACCGAACCTCAGCCACAAATGCATACTTGTTAGGCTGCCTTTTCTTAAACACATAGACATGGTTGGTGCTCATCTTCTCCAAAGCAATCAGAACCTTTTCACTCCCATTGATAATGAAATACCCACCTTGATCAAATGGACACTCTCTAAGTTCAGTCAAATCCTTCTCTGCGGTCTAATACAAACAACAATAGCTTGACTGGAGCATTATTGGGACCTAAAATGTAGCAAGAATTAAGATAAAAAATTCCAGATTCACAATGTTACATATATATGTGTGTGTGTTTGTGTGTGTGATTTAGAACTGAAATTTTAATACCTTCCCAATAAAAACTTTAGTAAACTCCTGTGTCTCAGTGACCTCTTCACAATCATGGCCTTTCTTAACAACTCTCTTAAGTTCAGACTTCAGCTACTTGAGGGAAAACAATGTCTTCAGGTTTCAAAACACAAACCTTTCTTACTATTGTTGAGCTCTCTATTCAAACATATATGAATATAGATTTTGATTTACAGTACGAATGAGGAAAATCACATTTGTTTATCTGCCCTCACTCAGTGTCAGCTATGAAGAGCTAAAGTCTTCCATTTCAGTTGATTTGCTTTTCAATCAACTAAAACCAAGATATTAAGGCCTTTTCATTTTGGACT